ATTTTACAAAAGATCTTAGACAGATAAAGGTAGGGAGTTTTGACATTTAGCTTACCGTACTCACCGAAAAATCTCTTTCTCTGCTTTGCTTTTTGTTTGCTTATTTTTTTAAACCAGGTTCCTCTACTGAAATATCTTTGATAGCTACACACCTTAAGATTGATCCAGTTCAGGAATCAAAGAAATAGCACACCGAAATACAATTCTCACGTTTTTTTCTCTCTCTAGGATCCAAAGGAATACAGACTGTAGGGAGTTTTACCCAAAGGGCTACAGAAGACAATATATTCCAGAAGAAGGAATTTAAGAGACAAGTACACAAAGAGGTATGCTGCCTCTTAGACAACAACTCCAGATACTGCCAACTATTATTAAACAAATCAGCTAAAGACCTTGTTTTCATGACGTACGCATGATATCCAACTTCAAGATACAAGCATAGCAACGTTTCATTACACACCTGTGAAATCTATGACTGCACTGAAGATTCCACATGTAACTAATGCAATACTGCAAGCGCTGATTTTTTTTTTTTCCCCACTTGCAATATAATTATGGGGATTCAAAACACATTTCTCAGCCATGGTACATACTGAAAAACAACCTCTCACCCCAATATCAGACACTCTTTTGTATACACAGTCCAAAAAAATCCACAAAAAAATAACCCCCGTAATTATCACATCCTGATGTTTCAGTGCCATGCCTTACCCTTGCTCCTGACTGTTTACAATCAGCAGGTAATTCTTTGACAGCACTCTATCATTCTGTGAGAAAACTGTTCTCCAGTGCTTTACAAAGACTATAAATACACATGTAGCTACCACAAAAATATTTACCTCTCTGAGCTCCAGCCTACACAACATCCTTCCAATCTACTAGAAACATATTCCCCGTTCATCGTGCACCAGCTCAGGCAGTAGCTGTCATGAGCCAGGGGAGCAAAGATGTGGTGCAATTGTTTCGAATCCCTTTTGAAGGCAATGCCCCACCACTGCCAAAAGCCCTCCTGCAGTTTTTGGAAAAACACTGCATTTTCCTTGACTTGCCCCTAGTTGGGAACCCACTGCTTCAAACCATTCTGCCGTTTCCTGCTCATTGGCCAAAGTTATAATTTGTACAGACAGGTATTGTAACTAACGCCCTGCCACCGCTGGTCAGCATCCCAGAGCTGTATAGAAGTTGGCACGTATTTCTTAGGCGCATGCACAGGACTCTACCACATGCAGGTAGGTGCTCGAGGAATGCCTGCAATTTCTAGGCACTCAATCATCTGTATACTCCCACCTTTGATATCACAGATTGTCCTGCCTATCTCCTCCTCAGCGCTTCATCAGCGGCAGAAGCGACTAAAATTCCACAAATACAGAATAATGGCGAACCCTGTCTACAAAACCAGCATTAAAACTCCACTGACCTGTGGCTCATACACAGAGAGAGAAAAGCAGCTCAAGGAATGATGGGATTTTTTATTTTTTTTTTTTAATGTGAGATGGAGAAAACATCACTGGATGGAAAAATTAGGGCATTTGAGTCCATGCTGCCAACAACTCTCACAGAGTACTGCGTTTGCATTCAACTCTGCACACCAAAATGTCTCTCAGAAGCCTTTAACAGGGATCCCTGCCAAGGATGCACCTGGGTTTAAGCCAACAGCATTACATACTGTTAAGGATGCATATGTCCAGATCAGCTGTCAGGCATGTATATGCTGGAACCGTACAGCAATGTTACCAAAAGTTCCAACATAAAAACTTTCTAGCACAGGTATCACAACTGTGATACAAACAAACGGTAATGATTGCAGAGATCATTGATTTCAGCCCTGGCCAGCTAAACATGAAGAAAAACCAAACCAAAAATTGATAAGAGGATTGAATGAGAACCTAAAGAGAAAACAACTAAAATTCTGTAAGAAGCATCAAGCACATACTTAAAGAAACAGCATTATAAAGATTGGATGGAAGGAGGAATTAGTTGACAGTATCTCTGGACATCAGTTTGCAGTTCACCTTCAAAAAAGGAAAGGCAGCCCCACAACTGTTATGATGATTCCTCGTTTCAGGCAAAGCAACTGGCAAGAGGTAATTCCTCTTAGCAGCATGTTGAATTATGTATTTGTACATAAGCCTTAAATATGTATTTTAATTTCACCTGAGTAAATTACCAGCGTAAATCCTATCCTTTCAAATATCTCTGAATTTTTAATTAACGTAATATCATCATTTCAACCAGGCAGTCAGAAACGATGAGTAACATATGATTCATATTCAGAAGTAAATGCACCTGCTTTTCAACATTTCTAATTACTGGTTCATTTTACCCTTTATATGACGTTGAAGCCAATTTGGGTCATACTGTTTTTAGCCGGTGACGAATCCTTTCAGCTCTCAAATAATGTATAAGGAATTGCTGTGGCGTCAGTTTGAAGGACGTTTTTAAATGCACCGTGGCAAATAGAATACATTACCAAAACACACCATTTTACTTCTGATATGCATCAGTTCACCATGAGCTTCCATCAGGCAAGGTTTTACCAGGAACATTTAAGCTTTGATTTAAAGTGATGTCCCACCATTTCACCATCTTCGGAATATGTCATAATGATTGAGGGAGTGCTACCATATGTTAAATATAACAAAGTGCTTATTTCTAACATTATGGACGAGAGGACAAAAACCCCAACCAAACAAACATTGGTTTTGAATACTTCAGATGTCTAAAAACACTGCAGCAAACTGCAGTGAGACTGTGAGGGAAGTCTTTACTGAACTGCCTCCTCTTCCTAACAGCACTACATCTTCGAGGAGTACGCAGGTAAACAAAGGGAAGCCTGTTTTAAAGGTGGTTCATCACCTTTCTACTCTGAACATTTAGTTTCTCCAGAACATGCACCTTCAGGAGGCTGAAGCTGTTCTCACACAGACCTGATATATGCTTAGCCACTGAAATATGCTTATGACATAAAGTATATCTCTGCTGAAGTTTTCCAACCCTCTAACACAACTAAAATGTAACAACTTCTCCTACGCAAAGCCCTATTCATTCTCAAACCGGCTTGCACATCAGGTTTCTCAAAGTTACCATCGTTAGCTTGACTTGTAGCATACTGGTAAATCCTATACATCTTCAAAGCAAAAAATAAAATTCCTTCTGGTTCAAGCCATATAGATTTTATACACAGAAGCTAGCTCCTCCTGACACCTACCTCTAAATTTCTTGATATAATGAGAGTATACCATGCCTGCCATGTTTCCTTTACCTGGTGTGCTAACTCATCTTTTAGATCAAAACAATAACAAAAGACATGGAAAACACAGGAATCAACAACAGTTATGTCATCCATTTATCAATTTTAAACCCTCACTTCAAGAGTTTAAAGACTCTGCATTCGAGTCACGGAAGTCCCTTTACAGCAATAAGAAAAAAGATAGTTCTACGATTCTTGGGTAAAAGAAACGTAGGTAGTCGAGCTGAGAGCTGGCCAAAAGCCACTGGCTCGCTGGCTAGGCAGGGCACCTTTGGGCAATGCAGGTACTGGTTTTGCACTACCCGATTTTCACGAAGATAGAACACATCTCTGGTATCCTACATCCCTCTGAATGTACCGTTCCCTCTGAATACTAGATGTTTTAGAGAGGAATGAGCAAATGATAACATGGGAGAGGGTAACTAGCAGGAAGGACTAGAGGCTGGTAGGTGGGGCTCCGAGGCAGGAACTTCTTGTGTTAATTACTCATGTATATTGCTGGTACTTACTGCTGAATGTCAGGAAGCTTGGGAGCTTTTTTCTATTTAAAACAAATAACCCAAAGGCTATAGGCAAAAAAAAAAAAAATGCAGTACTCAAATTTATTCGAGATGGTATGAAAATATTAACATCGTAGTTCATTCTTAAATAATTAGAAACAATGCTGACAACTAGCAACTATGGGATTTCAGTATGCAGTGCTTTGAGTACATCCATAAAAAGCTTTAGCAGTTTTCAGAAGCCGCTCAAAGCAGATTTGTTGACAACTGGGCTTAAGTTACTTTGTATTATAGTAGAACAGCCATGTATTAAATAGATGCCGCTACACACAAATTACTGAACGGTCTCTGGGTAACAAGTCGTTCCAGTGATTTAACCTATCCTTTAACAGTTATTTCTTGGTTTTCTTTTTTTTTTTTCTTCCTTAAAAAAGCCTCTTCAATTATAATCTCATCCATACGAGCGTCATGCAACCTGCGTTAACAGTCCACTTTATTTCCACCAATAAAGCCAAGTGCAAAAGGTTTATTAAAAAACATGCAATGCAAAAAAACTCTATCATTGGGTTATTTAAGTGAAATACAACCTCAATAAATACCGACCAACAAAAAATCCCAAACCTGCCGTATAAAGAATCTAATAAGAGTCCTGCATGGAATTCTCTAAGATCCCTTCCTTCTCATTAAAGGTAGACAAGGAACCAGATCTTTGTGAAATGAACAGAAAGGTGGGCCTGTCAGAAGCAAATCTCGAAACAGAAAAAATCTGGGAAAAGGCAGAATCAAATCCTGACCAGTGAGATATATTTGAATAGGCTGTGATTCTATAAAATTGGTGGCCTCAGTGACTCAGAAGAAAAATCAAATCTTAAGAATTCAAAAACTTCAAGTGAAAAGCAAACATCCGAATTTTGGTCTAATTTGCACAACAGATTCAGAAAAAGCAGAAGGTAACCTTAAGCTTGCACCACAGGAAATAGGTGAAGTACATATTTTTCATTTGCCATCCCCCCTAATTAACTAAAAGCATCCACTGGAAGCAAAAGCAGGTACATCCCTGATTGTCTAAAACTTTCCATGTTTAATTTAAGACTAGCTTTCAGTTAGGAAAAGGCAGCTATGGAACAGTCATATCTTTAATGAAGAGAAAATATCAAGCAGGATGAATGAATGGAAAGTAATTATTTCTTAATTCAGCACATCATGTTTCTCATTACCAAAGAAGAAGGTGTGTTTCAGTAAAGCTTTACCTTTCTCACACTGACTTCCTGTGAATCCAGAAGGGCAGACACATTTGTTAGGGGCTACACAAGTTCCACCGTATCTGCACCCTTCTTCACAGAATGCTGAAAAATAAAAGAAATATGTGGGTACTACTACATTTAAAAAAAATATATATATATATACATTTGCAAGATACTAAGAAAAACATCTAAATTCTAAGCAATTAACAGAATTCATCATATTAAAATTCAGTCCACCTGCAAACACAAAGACAAGTAACTCACTTAAATGACATGAGGAAAAATCTCAGATTACACCGTAGGCAAACCACCTCACCAATAAAGGATTAATAACCATCTGGAAGAAGGAGAGAGGGGAAAAATACAACGTACGATTTTAATGGGGCTGATCTTCTTTCAATTATACCCAATATGAGTATTACAATTCCAGTGCTCTGGTGATCCACAGAAAACAGGCTGGTCAGATGGTGTTAACTACTCTGTTTCTCACATCTACCAAATACATTTTACTGAAATGTCTATAAACACATAATATTTTCCTATTTTTTTATTTGTAAGTGTCAAGTACATTTTGTGGAATTGAGAAATGAAATAGGGTGAGGCTCGTGACTGAAACCAGAGGAGAAGGGCTCAACCACAAGATCATGCCTCTACTGAGGTGTGAATTCTTGACAAAGCAATACACAAGTACTTTAGAAGTTTCTTTGTCCAGTAACTGTTGAAGAAGTATGCTTGCAGTTTAACATTATTCTTTTTTCTTTCTTTTTGTTGTGTGTGTACAAGTAGCGGAACTGAGGTAAGAAGAGGAAAGGAAATAGCAAGCATTAGGACATGATCTAGTTTGCAGTGTTAACCCGAGTAAGACCTTTGCTAAGACTAAGAGCAAACCCTACCCGTAACAGACTCCCCACCCTCTCCTAGATATTTGTTGAACTACACAAGTTACTCAGTGGGTTTGACTGTGCTTATGAGGGAAGTTACAATTAATATTTAAACAGCAGCTCTCTGCATCTAAGCTAATAACACAATTGCAAAGTGTTTCCTGCAAGCTAAAATCACAGATGGAGTGTTGGCAAAGAGATGTTACAAATGCTATGAAAAGGCTTAAAGTGCTAGATAACAGAAGAAACGTTTAAGATTTATCTTCCGATGCACTAAAAAGAAAAATAAAGTGAATAAAGTACTAAGCATTAAAAAGAATCTTTTGCAATTGTTAACCACTTAGAGGCAAAAAAAGCACATAATCATATCTCTTGACTGAATTGATAGACGGGTCTGCCTTACGCTAAATATATAATTCGTAGCATGCCATACTGTTTTATGGAGGATAACACGGGGAGAAGAATGCTAAAGTGATTTAGAGAAGATGGTAGTAGAACATCATAAGCACTCCCGCGACTGGCGCAAGGCAGTGGTGTGGAGAAAGCATGATTCTTGCCCAGTAACACTTTCTGCTCATCAATGCACACACTCCATATGGGAACCTTCTGAAACATATCTATTTTGGAACCAGTCAATTTCTACTGTATGGGAAAAAGAAATATGGTTTAAGAGCAGCATTTTGTGATTTCTGCATATAAATATTGGTAGAAAAGTGTAACTGTGCAGAAAGCTGAAAGTACTAATATGAAATACAGCTGGAAAATATATGAAAAACATGATGAGACTCAAAAGATTGCCTCCGGAGCTCTTGAAAGAATGTTTGCTCATCTCCAGTCAGTCTCAGCATTCTCAGAGAAGGTGCAAGTTAAATTCTTCATCTACATTTTTTCTGGTTTGAAATGGAAAGTAAGCAGAGACTTTTGTGAAGTAGTAATACATTTCTGCATGACATCAAAAGAACTAGAATTTGTGGCAGAGCGGATATAAAGGGCAAAAAAAAGGAAAACATTGGCAAAAAAGAGAATCGTTCATCCACAATATATGCCACATTGCACTGGGAAAGAAATACATGGGGCTCTTAAAATAAAAGAAGTCATAAAGGGCATAAAAAAAGAAAATGTGTTGTCTATAACAATCAGGCATGTCCACTGAAAGTTGTTAGAGCTGATAGGGATAGGTAGGTAAGAGGGCTTCAGTTAGAGCTCTCACACACTTTCTTTGGCACCATAACCGATACTACCAGCTTACTAACATGAAATGTCTGCTTCTTACAATAAATTCTATTCCTAGATCTGCACAGTAAGGTGGTGTTTTCTTCTGTTCTCTTTTAGAATTACTAACAGAGAAAGGCTTATGAGACAGGGCTGGTCATGTAAAAGATTTTCCCATTAATGCAAAAACTGTTATGTCGGTGCAGCAGGCAGGTCTTGACATCTACAGGCACAGCCAAGCACACCATTCACATCTGGGAGAGAAAGGCTGGGGTGCCCGCCATGGGTCAAAACTCCTTCTATCTTTCTATTCCTTCCTACATATCCGTATCAAAACACACCTCCTATACACGTACCCAAACGTGCTAGCACTTACTTGTTGAGCATTTGGAAATTCCCCTATTCTTTATGTGTCACACCTTAGCAACTTTTAAAAACCCAAACAATGTCTGTACAGGGACACCCTGAGGAATTGTTGTACTACAGGTTCCTCTGAGAAGGGACTCTGTACTGCCCAGTGCAGGAGGAGTCACCAAGGCATTAGCTTGTCATGTGGACGTTGGAGGATGAAGTTGAGGAAGAAGCTGGGCAATGGCTGCAGAAGAAAAGAATTCAACTCTCCTTTTCAATTTTTGCAGAAGCTGGGAAGTCCTCTGCAATACAGACTAACTGTCCTTCGCTGTGATGCTCAGGCTTTGGTGGATTTGGGCGAGGCAGTTCATTTTTACGGAAGAAAAGAAAACCCCAAGGAAGAGTGCCAGAATTATCCCGCTGTTCCCCAGATAGTTCTTCTACAAACCCTCTACTTCCTGCATTGTAGGCTTTCAGGAAGTAGGAACATCAAAACCACAAATCTCAGAACACAGTTACAAAATCAAAATGTCTGTCTAAAGGCTACTTTCCTTAAGTGCTAGAAAAAGAGCTCACAGTATTATATGCAGTACTGATACCGCTACTCTGAATTTTAAGAATGCTCAATACCTCTAACAACAGGAATTCAGTTTCAATTGCTAGCAATTTTACCAAACTTCACTTATTTGAACTATCTTCTCTAATAGTTCTGCCTCCGGCTGAAACCTTTTAGAACATTTCAGAACATTTTATCAAAATTCATACATTTCCAACGAGATTTTTCCTTTACACCCTCAGCAGAAGAGACTAATTAAGGAAAATCTTTACGTCACTTCTGTACCCATGCCTTATGGACAAGAGGACCCAACAGGGAGCAGCTCAGTGACTGAATAGTAAATTAACTGGAGTGCCCATGCTCTCCTGAAACTACCTGCTTTGGCGCTTACGCTTTGTTACACATCTTATGGGCTGTGGGATCTAGACTTCCACTGTGGTTTGAGACCCTTCAAAATCAAAACTCTATTTGTGGGGGCATGGGAACCCACCAGCATCACGGAATTTGCACTTACAAACCTTGATTGCAGACTCCCTCCTACTCAAAGAAAGTTAACACAAGAAACATAAATCATGGCTGGATACTATTTTACTAATGTATTCCCATAAATAGATCCTGCCTCTGAAATTATTTGCAGGCTGGCAACCTTGTTGAAAAGGAGAATGGTTACTGCATTTGCAATAAAGGTTTTATCAGGAAAATTAAGTGAAGATGCCATTAGGGTGAAGTCTATGAAGGTAAACCTCCACCGTTAAGAGTCTTATGCAGTATTCTGTATATAAAAGAAATGGAATCTATTGATTTCAGGAGGCTTCTGCCAAAGTGAACAGATCTCTGTAATGCTAACAGATTTCTTCCTCCAAAATAAAAGCCTTTATCGTATAAAGACCTTTCCTAAATAGACATAATTTCTCTGCAGAGGAGGAATTTCATTTTTGACGCATGTCCTCCTGGATGATGGATCTGTAAAGCACAGAAACAGAAAAAAATTTAAATCGGCTGGATATGTAATTTTTGTGATAATGTTGGAGAGACAGGTGAATCTCACTGCAGAGCTCCACAAAGAGCAGCATGAAAGTGCCCACAAACCTGGTACCATGCTCCTGGACATGCACAAGCTGCATAACCACTGCCTACGTATTTATGGGGTACGGTTTCTTTTCCCCTGTCCAGTTAAAGTGTTATTTCCTCTCCCAATGAGGCCATTATCATAGATTCATGGAATAGTTTGGGTTGGAAGGGACCCTAAAGATCATCCAGTTCCAACCCCCCTGCCATGGGCAGGGACACCTGCCACCAGACCAGCTTGCTCCAAGCCCCATCCAACCTGGCCTCGAACGCTGCCAGGGATGGGGCATCCACAAACCCTCTGGGCAACGTGTTCCAGGGCCTCACCACCCTCACAGTGAAGAACTTCTTCCCTACATCTCATCTCAACCTACCCTCTTTCAGTTTAAAGCCATTACCCCTTGTCCTATCGCTACAGGCCCTTGGAAAAAGTCCCTCTCCGGCTTTCCTGCAGGCCCCCTTTAGGTACTGGCAGGCTGCTGTAAGGTGTCCCCGGAGTCTTCTCTTCTCCAGGCTGAACAACCCCAACTCTCTCAGCCTGTCTTCATAGGAGAGGTATTCCAGCCCCCCGATCATCTTCACGGCCCTCCTCTGGACTCACTCCAACACGTCCATGTCCTTCTTATGCTGGGGGCCCCGGAGCTGAATGCAGTACTCCAGGTGGGGTCTCACCAGAGCGGAGCAGAGGGGAAGAAACACCTCCCTCAACCTTCTAGTCACGCTTCTTTTGATGCAGCCTAGGATACAGTTCGCTTTTTGGGCTGCAAACGCACATTGCTGGGTCACGCTGAGCTTCTCGTCAACCAACACTCCCAAGTCCTTCTCCTCAGGGCTGCTCTCGATCCATTCTCCGCCCAGCCTGTATTGGTGCTTGGAACTGCCTTGACCCACGTGCAAGACCTTGCACTTGGCCTTGTTGAATTTCATGAAGTGAGCTCACCTCTCACACCTGTCAAGGTCACTCTGGATGGCATCCCAC